AGTCCAATGAAATGCGTTTATTTGGCAACTGTGGATGTCATACCAGTGTAGAAAATTAGAAAAAATCTGCGATGGACATAAAAAATTGTTTCAGTTTTCAACACCATATATCAACGTTAGGTGCTGCAAAACCTCTCCCTTCGACCCGGGTTGAAAATTCGAAGTTCGAATTTGTCGTTGATAATTGGCAACACTGATTACAATTACGAAAAGACAAAATGGCGATTTTCGAGATATGACTTGTGAATGGGAGACGTGAACGACGTGAAATTTTGTGCTGCGTTGGAGAAAAAAATTTCCATTTCTAATATTTAGATTTGAAGTGCAAATTTTTTAAAAAAATTAAATAATAATTAAATATTATTGTATGTTTAATGTCTGCTTTAAAAGAAAGAGGTGTGCTGCGACAAAAATATAATGAGCCAGGTGAGTGTCTTATTGAATTAAGTTGTTCAGTTAATTGTTATTCGAGCGTCTAAAAGGTAAATATTTGGATTATTTTAATGATTTGTGTTAAAAGAAAGTGAACAGATTGTGTTGCTATAATGGATGGTGCTCCCGCGTTAAGGGTGTGGCCACAAATCTGTCTGGTTTTCTTGGAGTCTCAATTAGGGCTCCTTTGGTAAAAGTAGTGTATAACCAAATAATGGCGCGGTCAATGAGAAAAATGATTTTTTTTTTAAATAAATTGAAGTTGTTTCGCCATTTTTTCACTCTTCAACTATTCTAGAAAGATCTGCGCTTCGTATGAGACCAAAAATTTAAATTTCCACTGGGGACCCCTTTTTTCTATTTTCGTTTGAAATCATAGATTCTCAACTAGTGGCCAGTAAATTTGCAATAAAATCGAGTAAAACTGCCTTTCTTTTATAAAAATATTTCAGTTTTACAGTTTTCCTCATGTTACGTAATGTTCGAAGTACAGGGAAAATTTTTTTCATAACTGAATTTTCGCTTCCTTGTATTTTCAATCCGGCATAAATCATCCTTTAAAGGCACCGATGATGATTTCAGACTCTTGCCGTTCCATTTTTTATAATTATTACTCAATATGCGATTTCAGTTCTTCCCAGAGCTATGTTTACTAAAAAAGTTAGTTAAGCCTCAAAATTCATAATATTTTATTCGTTATTCATTGAATTATAGCCGATTTATACAGTTTCTGGTGGGGATTCGTCTTTATTATATGGACTAGATCATGATCACCATATCAATGTGTATAAAACCTCCAAACCTTCGCAAAATCGTTTAGTAAATATTTAAATACATATTTTTAGACGAACATAGTGTTTCTGGAGAGGATTATGCCCATGTATTCATGCATAGTCACATTATTATGCAAACCAATTGAATTCCAAATTTGAGTGTCGCTTCTCATATTCATTTCAAGAGCCGATATTTTAACTAATTGCGAAAATATTCATGTTTTTAGCCCTTTTTTTGATACTTTCTTCATTGAAAATATATATATGAAAGATGTCTTTAGAGATCCTAACGATTTCTTAGGCTGTAAAACAATTTTATATTGTATCCAATACTGATCACTACTTTATAAGTAGTAATTTGGAAAAACTGATTTAGTGACCTGTGTGTTTCTTATTTTAAGACAAAGTTCTAAGGATTTCCGAATGTAATTATATATTTTAAAAAATATGGGCCCAACCTTAGCAATATATAGGAAAACATTCCTTCACTGAAGAAGTTAGAATGTAAAGAGCTGTAAATATTGCAAAAGATTTAAAAAATGTCCAGATGTACTTTAGTCTGGGAAGTGTTAATGCGGTTGAATTTCAAGGTTTTTGAAATTGAATAAACCAGATTTTATTCCGAAGATATTTAGGTGAACATCGCAGTTATTACAGGTGAGAAATTTTAAGGCTATGGGCTTCAAAAATTAAATCGAATTTATTCTGCAACCTGTTTTAGTTGAGTATATTGTCCAGCTATAAATTTATGTGCGCTAGTAAAGAAGAATTAAACCTGGGGTGGTGTAATTCCTCGAAGCAAACGGTGGCGGTAGCTCCAGTTCAAATCTTTTGGTATTAACCCATTTACGCTCAAACAAAAACGGTTGGAATTTTATTATATCTAATTTTATTTATGTGATCATAAAATCCATTTTAAACAAACTAAGGAATTAAAATTAACGAAAAAAGCTCAAAAGTTAACTACAGGGAGTGTACTTTTTTAAGTACAGCGGGCACTTATGTGTGTTAATTTTTAAAATATTACTTGACAAGGCATAACGTTTTTTTTGCATCCTGTACATTGCCATATTATAACCTCATGACACAGAACACACTTTAGCTGCTTAGGCAACTAGTCTGGCAACTATCCGTTATGCCTTGGGTTTAATAGAACCGGATGCGTAGCTTTATTCGAACAATGTGTCTTCTAATAGCTAATTGGTGGAAAAGAATCTTCGCTCGACAAAACATGTCGACTCCACCGGTTAGATACACTCATATCAAGCATGTACGTCGAGATTCATAACCCACCACCATTTCTTACTACGAATATAAACACCTAAAATTTTTGATAACAGCGATTTGACAACTCTATATCCAAGATGATCCCATGAGCTTCCAATGATTTTCCCACAATATATGTCAAAGACTTAGTAATAACCTTCATAACTTGCTATCACCCATTTTTAGCAGCAAAATATAATCGAAATGTTAAGAAATAAATATATATACAGTTCAAGAAAATTGTTTCAGAAACTACCTGACGTTTTTGGCAAAAACTCTGAATCATCATGTCACACACAGGCCAGATTTTTAACATTTTATCGTTATACGTAATTGCAAGACTATTCTCAACTACGAGAAAGCTCTTTTCCACTAACTCACTTTCTTTCGCTTACAGTAAAGTATTGCTAACATAAATCTCCACAAATAATTTCCGTATCCTTCCTCAAATACCTCTACAGATATTCTGTACGATAGTTCCACTTGTATGATCTATAAATCCCAGCAGAAATATGTATTATATAAGTTTCAGTATGTAAAGGAGGACGACGCGCCCTTTTCCAATAACTGCCACTTTTCTACATAGTATAGGATTGATTTCATATACTATCTCCATACCAAGTTCTAGTATTCTACTGCAAACTCCTCTTCATATGCAGTCTGAAAAATTCAGTTTGTATGGGAGGTGCGACGCCCCCATGACATATTCATATTTTAGTCTATAACCATGCTCGGAATGTCGGAAATACAGTGACGAGCAAAACTGTAACATGGTGTAACACTTTTTATTTCAGCCATCGCTATATTTCCAAGTTCTAACGACTTTCATTCTTTTGTTGTTGTTGTTGTTGTTGTTGTTGTTGTTGTAGCGGCTACAACAACCCCGCCCAGGATGGTTGGTATCTCAGTCGTTGTCGTCAAGTTCCACTAACGGCAACCCTAGGAAGCGTGCAGCTTCTGTGGGGTTTGTCCCCAGGAACAAGGCCGTTAGAGTTGTCGGGTTTTCCGGGCATGCGAAGAGATGTTTCGAGTCATGTGGGGTCTCTCCGCATGCCGGACACTCATTCGGCACATCCTCATTCAACCTACTCAAGTAGGAGTTCAGCCTGCTGCAGTAGTTGTTGTATATTCTTGTTGGTACATCCCTACTCCCTCTCTCATAACGATTTGAAGTCAATACAACAGATCCTTCCCGGTCTGAGAAAATCCATTTGTGGATTCTTTAGGCAGGAATTTAAATAAATCAACTTCGGTTGATCTACATTTTTGACAAGACCAACGGAGACCCTTTCACTCATGAAT